ATGCATCGATTTTCTTCATAACAGATTCTATCTCTTCTCAAAATAATTATTTATCATGTTTAGATTTTCTCTAGAAAGCTAGTCGATTGTTTTGATTTTATTATAAAACTTCACTAAAGTTTGTTTTCGAAATATCATGAGAGTTTTAAAATTTACTTATCGATGAACTTTTATTTTCTTTAAATAAAATTATTTTAGGTCAATTATTCCGTTCCTGTCTTCGTTTTGAACCAAATTGGATAACACTTCAAACTCCACCAACAACTATATTTTCATCTCCTATTGATCCATTACTTGTTCATGATTTACATACTGAATATACATCATCTGTTCAAGAATTAGCACGTGTATATCGTGAATGTATAATGGATATAATGTATGTTTATCGTTTTTCATCTGATGTTGATTTACTTTGTCGATTTGATTCATCATCATCATCACAATATAGAACTCCATTAACTAAACAACAAACAGAATCAACTTGTCTTATTGCTGATTCAGCACAAGTTGAATTTAAACAATTAATACGTCGTATACGTCGTTTATTTTTTGAAGATTTACGTTCGTGTGATAAATTTAATTTTCGTCGTTGTCATTCAACTTGTACACAATGTAATGAAAGAAAAATGGCTAAAGCAAGTGCTCTATATATATTCTGTTATACAGATATAAGTCATGCTAGACGAATTTTAAGTTTACCATGGTTATTTGCACCATTATTAATTGAAACACGAAAATTAAATATTAAAAAACAAACAAAATTATGTAAGTTTAATAATAAGATTATATCCATTAGTTGAATTAGATTATTTTTGTTCAGTTTAGTCTTTAGATATATTTTGATGTATCAGTTTTCCTTTAATTGAACTTTAGCAGTATACAACGATTGACAGACTCGATTTTTTTTTATTAGAAAATAAACTGATAGAAATACCCCATGTGATTCAAATCGGACAAAAACCGTCAACAGGTCATTCGGTATTACGTACGCTATACCGATAATTAATCCGCAGTAGTTTGCTACTTAAACAGTCGAGTATCTTCTAACTGTCATTCTACTACAGTATAGCAATAGTTGTTCTTCGACTGACAATCTACTGCTGAGTATATCGTCGGTACTTATAGGTAACGTAGTATACAGGCGATAGTATGAACAAATATGTAACATGAGATGGCAATAAACTTTGATCGTGAATAGAACCCGTCGGGTTCAGAACCAATCCGACAAACTCTAATCGTGAGTGACACAAATCATGTTTGATGATAAGATATATCTATAGTTTTCCAATTAGAATTAATTTCAAACATAAGAAAAATCTTGAAAATATACATTTATTCTTATTGCAGTACAATCCGAATGTACTTGTTATTGATATGAAAAGAAATATTTAATAGAAAAAGTAGTCTGTTCAATTTAAAAGATACTACATAAGATTAGAAATATGAAATCAACTTTTGTATTCATATTAATCAGACAAATGGAATCATAGATCTAATTAAAGAAAGTTCTCATAAACTGTTATAAATTATTTATTACTAATTATTAGACTCATAGTTTTATCTACTCATATGAATAACTTTAAGCTTAATATTTCTTAAATTTAAATCTGAAATTGCAAATGTTCAAAAAAAAAATAAAAAAAATTCAACTTTTTTTCTTTTCTAGTATCACCAGCAATTGTTGCACGAATGCTTGAAATTCAACCTTATCGTTTAATTGGTCAATCCTTACAACATGCAGTTCAATCTTTATTTGATACAAATAAATCATTATATTTTCATCATACATATTCATCTGAAACACCTACTCTAATTACAATTTCACTTCGACCAACATTAACAGCTAAACGTCTTCTACTTAAACGTCAAATATCATTAATTGATTATTTAATCATTGAAGTTCTTCATTATTATGTTTATGATTCATTATCAAAAACACGTTCACCAATAACTTCATCAAAACCAGCACTTGTCGATTCAGTTTGGCAACATATTTTAACATATTTTATTCTTAATGAATGTTCACCATTAGCACTTTTAACAACAACAACAACAACAACAACAACAAATTCATCTCTATTATCATTAATTAAAGATTTTAATTTTTGGTCTGATGAACAAGCATATATAACATTACAACGTTTTATTAAAATTAGTGCTCAATGTGCTAATCATGGACCAGAACCAACAGATTATGCACATGCAAATGAATATTTAATATCAGTACTTCAAAAAATGGCTACGACGGGTTTTCTATTTTCAATTTGAATATGAACATTAATTTTCAATATAAACGCCCAGTGATGTACTTATATTGCTTCAAATGAAATTAAGAATTAAGTTTTTTTGTATTTCTTTTTGCTATTTTCGGTATTTATATATGTTTTTTCTTTATCTTTATTAAAAAAGAATAATAATGATAATAAGTTGAAAAACAATTTCTTTTATTAGTAACAAACAGTTTTATAACAAAAAAAAAAGATAACAAAGAATGTTGTAATTTTTTTTTTATGGAGAAAACATTCATAATAAGACTTTTTTTACAATCATAATTTCGATTTCGAACAAATCTATGTGTTTATCATCTGATCTTTTGCGTTCGAAAGATTGAAGTAGATTCATGATTATTCAATGATTAAGATATACGACATAGCAGAGAATAATGTATATTCTATCCAATAAATAATACAGAATCTCATATCATCACACATACGTATTGTGATTTTTTTAATGTAATTGAATGATTAAAATACTGTGTGACTCAAGTTCAAAAAAACCTGTCTACTGATTATCGAGACTGCATAGTATCCGATATTTATTATTCTTATACTATTTTTAATAGTCGAAAAAATGTTTTTTTTTTTTATTTATTCAAAACTTTCTTCTAATGTGAGGATCGGGATCATCTTGTACATTTCCATTTAGAATGTATGAGCCGTGACATTATGACTTTGGACTCAAGTTTTACGTGACCATAATGAATATTTTTCCTAATGAAAAAGTGTTGATACAGACTTCGATCGAAAAACTTTAGCCATGAGAATATCTTGCCCATATCTAGTGTTGACATCGATAAAAATGACTATTTATTTTGAATAATCTCAAACAAGCCATTGAAACAATATTGGAATTTTTTCTGATCTAAGAAACATCTAACATACAATTCTGGTAGCTAGTGGATTCTCATACATCATTTACTATTTGCGAAAATCGATGCAACTCAATTCAATCGAAATAAGCTGTTACTCTTGGACTGTTTCTTTCCTTCTCAAAGTATTCGTAATTTTCTCATAAGATATGAAAAATGTTCGTCGAAATAATAGCAACACAATAATTGTGTTGTAAACAAGCATTTTATCACGAATGCAATTTGACCTTTCTCAAAATCAGCGGTGTATTCATCATTTATATATAGTTTATTAAAGAAAATTTGATTTTTTTTCTTTTACATTTTTAGCTAAGTTAAAAAGAATATATCAAGTCTTTAGTTTTTTTTTTAAATTGATTTTAATGTTTGAATTTATTCTTATCCTTTTTGTTATTCGTCATTATCATCATCATCATCTCCACTTGTTTTTGTTAACATCCATATTTTACGATCACTAGATTCTGATATTCCTTCTACAGAAAATCCAGCATTTTCAAATGCCTCAATAACATTTGCTGGTGGATCAATACATTGAACACCTTCCTCATGATCACATAATCTATCATTTGCAAATGTTTTTTGTAAAATTCGGATAAGTCCAGGATGAATACGATAATTTTGAACACCTGTACTATGAACAATTGTTGGTCCTGAACCTTCTTCAGACATATCACATGAAACTGTTAGTGTTGTATTCAGTGGTACAGCCATGATTGTTATTTATTAAAATATATATTTAATTAAATCTTATAAAACAACAGTTTATAAAATGAATAAAGTTACTTTTTTTATATGTGAAACAAATATAAAATCTATAAAATGCGACTATACAATGTAAGAAGCTAAAAAGAATAAGAGAACAAGAGAGTAAGAGGGTAAGAAGAAAAAAATAAAACAAATATCTTTAGTAGTGATGACTCGAAGCAGCCAATATTGGGGGTGGAAACGTGTCACGAACTTTAGTAAATAGAGAATACCTTTCTTTTAACAGAATGATAAGAGAGGGTTTCAGGTGTGTTGGAAAAAAAATACAAAGTTTCCACGATTGGTGGAGGGAGGAAGGTATTACACCTTCACCTGCTCCGGCCACTATTGATTTTTAGACTAAAACATGTTTAAATCGATGTCTTAGCCATTATATAGAGAATAATGATTAAAGTTATTATGTTTGTATTAAATGATGATTTTCCAACTGTCAAAACTCAATTTTCATACTTATACACAATTTTAGGTTAAATGTATATATTCTTTTTACAGTGTAGCTTGTCATACATATTTTATTCTCGTATATCAAGAAGAGATGTATATGTCATGTCGAAGTTGACTAGATTTTGTTAATACTTGATTTTAGATTTATTCCGATGACACTAAATTCCGTAACAAGTGACATAGATCTCTAAAATACTAACGAGAGAACATTCTCAGGTGTCTCGCTCCGATTTTGTTCGTTTATATATCATTCAATAGAGGACTTGGAGTAGGTAAAAAGCTTAAAAGAGTTCCAGCCAACGGCTTTTTCTTCGGGAATTACGACCAGTTTTCTGATTATCCTAGCGAAAACTGGCATAAAAAAGAAAAATTCATAACTCTATCAAAGAAACTCATAGAGAGCCGAACTTTTTTTTGATGGTAGTCTTAAGGGTCCTCTATATACTCTAGAAGTGTCACAATTCTATCACTCTCTTCTCCCGAGTTATAGGACATTTCTAGGAGAAAGGGTGAGGGTGTGGATGTGAATATAGGCATCAATGCTCTCTTTATCCACACTCACACCTTCCTTAAGACTACCAGCAAAACAAATTTCAACTGCGGCACTATGTTTGGATTGATGAACATCAAGTCGGTGCCAGTTGACACCACGTTTATTATGAACACTTATGGCCAATTTTTACATCTGTATATCAGAAATTTTGAATGATTGTCCAGATTTTGATGAAATACCAAGTTTATAGTACGTAGAGTTCCAGGATGATTGCAACCAACGATATGCCATCAAAAACAGTAACGTGCAAGATCGCTTGACACTGTTTGGGGCTGTGAAAAACCTTAATTCAATATTTTTGTAACATCTATATGAACCGTCGTATGGCGCTGTTTCATAAACGATAAATAACGGTAATAAACAATCGGAAAATTACGTTAGGTAACTATAATCGTTTACAATACGGTGTGTGATAGAAGCATATAAAACGGCAAAATTCTTTATCTAATGGCTATTTATTACTCTGTTCGTTCAACCTACGATGATTTCGAATGTCTAAATGTTTGCCAAATATGAGATAATTCATTCAACAGAAAGAAACAAAAAAGTGTTCAAAACACAGGATTGCGTAGGATGCCTACGATAAAAACTAACCTGTGTTCCCATCGTTTTTGTCAATAGATCAATTCGATAGTAGAAATCTCAATGTTATGGATACTGATTATATTGATCATATTAAATATCGTATCAGTCATCTTCGTTTACAGGAATCAAATGAATAACAAAAGAAAAGTTTCTGTAACTGTGAACAAATCTTTCACTTGACAGGCAATTATAAATTATATGGCGATTGGATAATTTCATCGGTCGACGTAACTTCAATACAACATATATAAGTATTATATTCAATCAATCGATTTTTTTATGATCACATTCCATCAAAATAATATTGATATAAAACTAGTCTCGAATTTATTCTATATGGATTATTTCCTGTGATAATTATGACATGTAGAGAAAGAAAAATTAAAAAAACTTAATTTTTCGTTCAGCATGAATATGTAGATATTATCATAAGATTCAAAAGCTTTTCTTTTGTAATCAATAGCAATGGTTTTTTGAATAATGTGAGAAAACAAATATTACTCTTTAGTTCGAGAAATAGAAATTTTGCCTCACTGACTCTCGACAGCATATGTTTACTTAAATAGAATCCAAATTTCGATTGGTATGACTAATGCGTTCACACAGCATCAGATAAGAATGAGGACCATATCTAAAGTGAACGAATACTCTTTCAACAGTTGCTGAAAGCCAATACGGCGAAATTCATATAATCCCCTAATCTATATGATAGACGAAAAAAAAAACAAACATTGGCTTCAATCCCATACTTAAACAAAGATTTCTTACACTTTTATTTCTCTATAGATCATAGACGTCCATCACTGCCGCGCCATGATCCTAGAAAAGATAAGCTTACCACGGCGCAGTACACGCTGCCGTTATCATGATCTTTTTCGAAAACTTCTTCAATTACTGTGCTAAATTAACATATTTATATTAAATCCATCAGATTTACTATGATGCTCACTGTTCGACTTGTAGAAATTCAAATGGGATGTAAAATTCATACAATTTTGCAATTTCCTCAAAAAAGAAAAGAAGCTGCCGCTAGCGCGATAGTATTTTTGAAATATCTTCTACACGACAGTGGTTTTAAAACAAAAGTAACGTTATCGCTGTGGTGGCAGCGCCGTCATTGACATCTCTACTATTTATATCTGATATTTATATAATTATTCGCTTAATTATTTTATTTTCGATAAATAAAAGATAATAGATATTAGCATAAACGAAAACAAACACATATACACACACACACAAGGAAATGTATTCGTCCGAAAAATAACAGTTCTTATCTAACAAATATTTGCCATTCGTAATAAATGATTTTAATTCAATGATTATTCTTTTTGTGGTAATTGTATCGTAGATGGATTAATAAATCGTTCAGGTAAAAACATTTTTAGAAAAGTTACTGTATTATTTTCTTCTCCTTCTTTATATGGATCATCATTTGCAATCATACGAGCAATAGCTTTGGCACATAAAAATCCATTTGGCATTCCATTGCCTAAAAAAAAAAGTGAAATAATAAGTTTTATTTACAAAAACAAATAAAACTGATTATTTACCATTATAACCACATATAAGAAATTGTTTATTATCACCTGGTAAAGGTCCAATTAATGGTAAATGATCAATAGTAAATGCCATAATTCCTGCCCATTCTTGTTCAATTTCAACATTATGATTTTTTGTTGCAAGACCTGGATGCCATTGAGAAAAAAATCTTTCATGTTCTTCTCGTATTAAATCATTAATTTCCGAATCATTTTGATTATTATGTTCAGTATCAGGACTTTTCCAACGGCAACCACCAAGTATAATTCGACCATCAATTGGTGATTGATGATAATATTCTCTTCCATCACGTGCTGATAAACCAAATGGCCAAAAAATAGTTTCAATTGGTTTTGAACGACTACATTGACCACGTATTGGAATAATTTTCTCACGTACAAAATCTAAATATTCAACAGAATAAGCATTTGTTGCATGAACAATAGCATGATGTGCAATAATAACACGACCATTTTCAAGTATAATATTTTTTGAATTTTCAATACGAATAACTTTACCATTTGTTATTAAATCAATACCAGATTGTTCAAGACAATATTGAAGTAAACCATAAACAAATTTTGCAACCCAAATTGTACCAGATTCATGCATAAAAAGTCCACCAATAAATTTATCTGAATGTAACATTTCTTGACATTTTTTATCATCCCATAATTCAAGATTATCTAATGATATTTTAGTTTTTGTATGTTTTTCTAAATAATCTTTCATTAATTCATATGATTTAATTAGATTATCTAATTCATGTTGAGTACGAGCTAAAGCAACATTTCCACGTGTTAAATTTATTTCACAATCAATATTATTTTCTTTTACAGCTTGAGCTATTGATCGCATATTTTCATGTTGAAATTCAATCCATTGACAACCATTTTCATAACCAAAATCTTCAACATAACCAGCTAAATAATCATAACTTGGCCAAAGAAAACCACCATTACGACCAGATGCACCTGAACAAGGTCGAACATTTTTTTCAACTAAAAGTATACGTGGAAAACGTTCAACAGGATAAAGTTTACGTAACCAATAAACACATGCTACACCAGATAGACCAGTACCAATAACAACAATATCATATTCATCATTATTA